CCTCTATATCAAAAACAATTATTTCACTTTGCTCGTCGCGATTTTTAATGGAACATATTCGCCGCACATATTATTCCCGATAATTTCCATATTTACGACAGAATTTGCATAATATACACTGATAGGTGGTGGAGGTAGAGGTGGTGGTTGGACAACTCGACGAACTCTCTATATACGTGCACAATATACGGTATAACCTATTATTTCTCTCTCTCTCTCTCTCTCTCTCTCTCTCTCTCTCTCTCTCTCACCCCCACCCGTGTACGAACGAGTTTAATTGCAACGGTGTGCTCTGGGCGTTTTCCACGATGCAATTCAACGATGATGGGTGACTATAATATATACCCACATCGTATTATTACATATATTATTAAATTCCCCGTTTTCGAAGTCTCTATATTATATTCATAGGCATGCGCACGACTCTAGGCTCGACCCAGGACCGCATCAACCTATAGGTGCAAATGAAGCATTAGGTGGTAAATTTTAAATTTCCTATCAAAAATAAACTAGATGTTACAACATTATTATATTATATTTTAGATGTAACAATTTATAAATAACTTATATTACAATATTTTTAAAAATAATTTATAAGTTGAAATCATTACGTTAAATTAATTAATTTTAGATTTAGAAACCGATTTCAAAGAAGAACCAATGGCGCACAGAGTATCTTACAAACATTGTCACGTATTCAAATCCTTGAACCCACTCACCTCAAAAGTCAAAAGTAATTATATTTATATAAAAAATTATATAATTGTATAATATATAGTTCTATAAAGAGAGGCCTCGACACCATATAATACATGCGGCATAAAAGTATAAATCATTCATTACATTGTCTTTAGCAAAAATTGATTACTAATAATATAATTAAATAATTTTATTATTTATAAGTACCTAAATTATACCTCCTTTAAATACAAGATCGATAATCTGAAATGAAAGATCGCTTTCTGTCCTAAAACGTGGAAAAATTTATTTGATCATCATTAACTCTTGAAAATATTTAAAATGTGTCGATATTATGCATTGAATCTGATTTGGTCATTAGGTTAATGATATGAAGTGGGGAGAAATTATACCTACATCAATTTTCCGCAATATGAAATCCATGGAAAATATATTTAAATACAGAATAATTTTATTTTAGCATTTTAGTACTCAACTATAATATTATTATTACTTATAATATTAAAAACCTATGTTATATTGAGATTTATTTATTATTATTTGAGTCTGCCCATGTCCATTATTACATAGATTAAATATACTAACCTAAATTAGTATATTTAATCTATGATTATTATAATTTACAGGCTGATTAACCAAGCATCGTCACCCCCAATTATTCGTTAAATAATGAGTTTATTAAAATTCTAATTTTGGAATTTTCACATTGGTATTATAGGTACTTATCTAAAGACCATAATATTTTCAAACTCTTGAGTTTTTTGTACTACTTAAGCAGTGTCTGACTTCTGTTTTTTAAATGAGAACCCTCCCCTCCCCACTATATTACGTACCTACTGTACATTTTTTTGTAGATCATTTTTATTGAACATGTCTGTAAACCTAATTTAAATTCGAACGAGTAGTTTTTTTGGATTCTGAGCGGAGTGAGGAAGCTAGTGGTTTTACAATGGTGTTTATTTTTTTTTTTATCCTATTTAAAAAATTTCTACCAGAAGGAGTGCTTCGATTTGAACATAATATAGTACCTTAACTTTTAACAAATTGGATCAAGATGGTACTTTAGAGAGTTCATATTTTTTCGATTATCTCATTAGTTATTTAATGCCACGGGAAAAACCACCGACAAATTATGAAAAACCGATAAAAACGGGATTTTGATTTCTAACGCTTTCTTTATCACCATAGCAACGAAGAAATTATTACAATATAAAAAAAAAGGTGGGCAAGTGGGTGTCGCTCTGCTGTACAGTAGGTTACAAGTGGGTCACTGTATAATGGATGGTATTACATTTGAATTCAATGATATTATATCATTGTATAAGAAAAACGATTCTGAGCGGAGACGGTATGTCCTTCTAGGTATAAGACATATTATATACTTATATATGGTATTAAAAAAAATTAAAAAAAATTGACCTAAATGAATTCCAAATTAATCATATCACATTATCCATTAGGTACTTATAACGCGTTATACACCAACAACAAACCCTGATACTATCATAGATATTTAGTAGTATACTTTAGAAATTTCAAGTACCCACGAATAATATTATACAATCACAACAAAATAACTAAAATAGTTACTCTAGGATGTAATTTCGTCCAAATTTGAATTTAAAATGTCTGTAAAAAAAAACTGTATTCATATATTTCTTAGATTTTTTGGTTACATTATGAACTATTTATGAGAACCTTTGTTTTAAATTTGCAATCCTTAGCTATAAAAACTGAACATTTTATAATTTATTAATTACAATGATTGATAATATTCGAGATTTTGATAAATTTTGTCAAAATTCGATGTTTAAATGCTTATAAAAAAAAATTGTGCCTATGTACTTTTAATATTTTTCAATTGCTATTGTAACAATATATCAGGAGCCTTGTATTAAATGTTTACACTTTTTGGCCCAACAGATAAAACTTTATTGATATTTATAGAAAAAAAATTAAAAAACTAAAAAAATTTAAAACTGAAAACGTCTGTAAACAGCTCAAAAAGAGTCAAAATATTTTCAAAATTGTACAGTGTATAGGAAATGCTAATATGAACATTCAATGAAATTTTCATGTATCTAAAGTTATTCGTTTTTGAATTACAACAAAATAAGGAAATCGCTACATGAGAAATCGAGTGAATATCCAATGTTGTAAAAATTTGAATTTCAAACGCTCATAAAAATTTAATTTGACTTTCCGGTAGAGATTTTTTTATTGATAAAGGTAGACAAACTTATGAGTAATCAAATCTTCAAATCTTAGATTTAAAAAAAAAAAATTTTTACGAATTGTTAACTCAAAATAATTTGCTAATTTTCGTGATTTTTCCATATTTTGTCAATTTTTGAACATTCAATGAAATTTTCATGTATCTAAAGTTATTCGTTTTTGAATTACAACAAAATAAGGAAATCGCTACATGAGAAATCGAGTGAATATCCAATGTTGTAAAAATTTGAATTTCAAACGCTCATAAAAATTTAATTTGACTTTCCGGTAGAGATTTTTTTATTGATAAAGGTAGACAAACTTATGAGTAATCAAATCTTCAAATCTTAGATTTAAAAAAAAAAAATTTTTACGAATTGTTAACTCAAAATAATTTGCTAATTTTCGTGATTTTTCCATATTTCGTCAATTTTTGAACTTTAAATGTTTATAAAAAAAACTGTGACTAAGGATTTTTAATATTTTTCATCTGCCTTTGAAACAATATACTAGGAGCCTTCTATTAAATTTTCAAGCTTTCGAAACCAACAAATAAAATTTTATTGATATTTTTAGAATAAAAACTAAAAAAAAATGGAAAATGAAAATGTCCCTAAACAGTTCAAAACAAATCATTATATTTTAAAAACTTTATCGAGTATAGAAAATGCAAATATAAACAACCAGTGAAAATTTCATGTATATACGTTCATTTGTTTTAGAGTCACACCAAAAACCAAAATCGATTTTTTGGAAAACAGACTTTGCGTAAAAATTCCCGTTATTCCTTAATATGTATGTGTTTAATCCCGGCGCTTGTGAAAACTGTTGGGAATTTTAAAATTCGACCTCCCGAATGCACCAACTAGATTCACTTTCCAATCGAACAAGATACTTAAGTTGAAAATCGAAGCATTATTTCGACTACTTATCGTGTACACAGACACAAAAAAAAATTTTTAAAAAAAACACACATCATTGTAAAATCAAGACATTCATCGTTCCACTCAGAATCTAAAATCCAGAACTGACAAACCGTCTCCGCTTAGAATCGTTTTTCTTGTACAATGATATTATTTCACTGAATTCAAGTTTTATACATTGAACCGTTTGTAAGTTGTAACCTACTTAGTATAGCCGCTTACCCGCTTTTTTTTTAAGAAGTTAATTTTACTTCTAATTACGATTTCACTAGATAAAAATACAGTTTAAAAACAAAAAAATTGACCAAGTATATAAAAAAAAACTTTCAAAATAATTAAAGATGCCTATGAATAATTTAAAATGCAAAAAAAAGTAAGTGAAAATAATTTCAATGTTAAAAACAAAGAATTCGAAAACTAATACTGTCCATACGTCGATACTTTCTAGGTGTGTCCGGGTATACGTTGTGAGCTCCGTGTACCAGGGTCCCAAGCGCTACTCGCTACCGTTCTTCGATTTCGGTGCCAGTGATTGCGAGGGACGGCTGTGGCATTATAAAGCCACTCGTTCGGCGGCCATCACGATCACAGCATACGCTCCTGTTACATGTGTTGCAAACGGCCTCTGTCAAGATTTCTATAACGTCGCGGCAACGTTCCTACAACGTCCCTGCAACGTTCCTACAACGTCAAATGAAACAACCGAGTAAAATACAAACTATCACGCTGTGACTCAAGCGTCATTTTCAGCAAACATCTGTCATCTAATTTACACTCATTACGATAGCTGACAAGTCAATTATAGATGAATTCAAATAAAATTTAAAAGTGGGTAAAGCCAATAGGAGTCAAGGCTAGTGTTTAATTTAAATTATGATGAATTTTGTCAAAATACTTATAAAAAAAAATCGTGCCTAAGTATTTTTTATTAATTAAAATTTTTATACCAACTATACTAAGGATATAATTTTGTATGCGTATCTGAAATTTAAAAATATTCCCAAACATAGGCGATGTTGCCGTTGTTTATTTCGTAATACGGACTACTGCATCATCGCATAGCGATCGGTCAACAAACAAAAATTTTGCGACTTCTTCGTCACCGCTCCCTAGGTTAATGAGCGAGTTAAAATTGTTTAAAGACAAAAAATCGACGATTCGATCATGTTTCGAGACAGTTTCGACTCACTGGGCACAAGAACGCTGCCCGAACGCGATCAGTCTTCGCCACCATCGTCGATTTGCTCCACAAGCCGCGTAGGGCGACGAGAAAGTGTGTCCGGTGAAGTATCGGGTCATGAATCGCTTCCGGTTTTGCTTTCCGACGTGCCGTTGTTTAACGGCGACGACGACGATGGTGGCGAACAGACGTTCCAATGTACGTTGGCCATTATCAAACCGGAAGTCACCCGGCTGATGTACAAGGTGGAATGCGTAATGACACAAAATGGATTTATCGTCATAATGGTTTGTGCACAAACACATGCGTTATTGTCATATAGACAGTGGTGAATTTAGGGGGGACGACTCAGAGGGAAATTTCCCCGGGGGCCAAATTCCGTAGGTTCCATAAATCTCAAATTGAGATACAAATTCCTAAATAAGTACCTAATATACCCCAATGATATATTTTTATTTTTACTTAATTACATTATTACGTTATTAATTAATCATTTTACAATTCAACATAATACGTATTTGTTAAAATAAAATAATATGTAAAATATAAAACGAGTGTCAAAAGTAAAATGTTGGCTCTATTATACTAACTAGACAAGTTATTATTACCTACCTTTACCTATAAGACTTAGGTATGGCGTACCTAACTACCTAAGTAATTAGGTACCTACAGATTTTTCCTAGTCACAATCAAGTCAATTTTATAAAGTCATAAAAATTCGTTTTTATTACCTACTAGGTACCTAGATATAATATACAGTACATTTTTTTCCCGTGAGCGGAAAATTCCTAAATTTAAATTTAAACGGCTCATCTATATATTATTATTTAGTAGGTACCTACGTCGTAATTATATTTCGTGTTTAAATCTCTCGAAATACAAATAACCAAGTCCCCCTCACAATATGTCGTCTTATAGAAGGAAGTGTTGCGCTTGTCCCGGGATCAGGCAGCGGAATTATACGCAGAGCACTCGCAGGCGCCATACTTTACCAGACTCGTCGATCACATGTCCGGGAACCCGGTAGTGGTGTACGTGTTGTCCAAACGAAATTGCGTCGAAGAATGGCAGCGGTTGATCGGGCCGGCGGAAGTTCCTCGGGCTAAACGTTTGTTTCCGGTCAGTCTTCGAGCCATATACGGCACGGAAAAGGGACCAGATCCGGTGGCCAACGCGTTCCACGGCAGCGATTCTCCGGCTGCGGCCGAACGGGAAATCAAATACTTTTTCCCAAACAGTACGCACCGATTTTCTGCACGATACTATAATATTATGATCACGTGTTACAATTTATTATTTTATTCGAACATTAATTAATAATATAATTATACCATTTCGTCATGTTTATAACTTCAGTGAAACTGGATGAGACCACGGACGTCCAGGATGACCTGGTGGAGTACATAAAAGACGCCATGATGCCAACGATTTCCAAAGGTCTATCGGAAATGTTCCTCATCCAACCCAATGACCCTTTAAGGTGGTTTGGAAATTGGTTGTTAGCCAGGGATTAATAATGTATACGCACATAATATTATTATTATATTAGGTACCTAACTCACGGTTCAATAAAAAAATATTATTTCATTCATTATTACTTATTTATTTAGCGTATGGTTAAACAAATATTTGAATTTTATTATTTTATAATTGCCGGACACAATATGGTTGAGAAGATATCCGAGCTCTTTCTGAAAAATAACTACTATCCTGAATCGAGGTGAGCAAAGAATGAAATTTGTGACTTTGATGTTTTTTGACTTTGATAATAATAGGGTATGTTATTTTTAAACGGGCTACGGCATAATATGTATGGGCAATATTATACGTATATAATATTAATGTGTTCAAAAGTTATGACTTTATGAGGATGAAATTTCAACATGAATATACATTTTAAGGGGATCGGAGTCGGTGCGTTTTTTGGTACAAAAACATGTCTTACAGGAATAACTCTCAAGCCCTGTAGAATTGTCGGATTTCGTTAATTTTTTTTTTTTATCTAAAAGTAAAGAACATTTTGTAGGTCGAATTAAAGCCCGATTTTGAAAATTATAATTATAGAAGCTGGAATATGCATTTGAAAAATGCACAATATTTGTCCTTTTTCAAACTTATTTTTCTACTACTATTTAACGTAAAATAAAAATTCGAGCTTTGATCCGACCTGCAGAAAATTCTCATCTTTCATGTAAAAAAAAATGACCAAAATCCGACTTATTGAGGAGTGAGAGTTTTTCCTGTAAAACATTTTTGTTCATCAAAATAGTGCTTCGATAATTTATAGTCATCGAAGTCAATCACTGACTAGTGCATGCTCTTGCGTAAATACTAAATATCTGTATCTGCTGACTGCTCGTGTAATTATAGCTCACTCACACTAATATCGATTTACATACTCACGTCTCATACACATAGGAGGCCGATAAAACATGTGAATTGAATTGCCTACACTTTACTCCTTAATAAATGACCGTCACCGACACCCTTGAGTACAGGTTACAAGTTTACAACCTTATAGCCTATAGGTACTGTTTCCTAGACGTGACAAATAAGACAGTAGTCAATAGTCATTAAGCAAGTCCACTACTAGTCATCGCGATCTATTTCGTACAGTGTATACAAGTACTGTAATCCGACTTTGGCAACTGCATCGAAAATTACGACTTCCGGCGATTCTCAGTAGATTTGAAACGAGAATTTCGTCTTAAACAAATAGGTATATTGTACACTTGGATAAAGCATTAACAGACGAACCCGGACGGCGCTCCTGAATGTATTCTATCGTCTGGTCATAATTCGTTAATTTTACATTTACAATTCTCTATAACATTATTATTATAATTTATAATCAAACTTAATATAACAATAACATTATAATGTTTAAACTTCAACAAAACAAAATAATAAGAATCTGTTTAGATACAAAAACTATGGTAGGAGGCTCAACGAATCAAAATTATAAATTGGGTGGGTTTACAAAAAATTGTGATACTTGGGTTGGATTTTAACAGAAATACATGGTTCAATACAGTTATAGAAAAATAAAAGACAACACAGTTCATTAAATGCATTAGTAAAGTATGAAAAAGCAACGTGTGGTCAAAAATGCAGACTACCATGGGCCTACTACATTCAATTCGTTGGATTATGATTTAAAACAAAAATTACTTTACTATAAAACCAAAAAAAAAAATGTATACATTTTTACTGTGGTTATTTTTTTATTTACCTTAAATTAAATTCTTTTTATATTTTAAGCTATATAAATAATTGTAATCTATGTTTGTTTTATTCACGTATGTTTGAATATAATGTTATTGTTATAGAGTTTTCTTTTTATCATGTAAATATCTTAAAAATATTACATTAATATTTAGTTCTATACATATTTAGAATTTTATTTGAATCTTTAAATTTAAATTTAATTTCTTTTTATTAATAATTATATTATTATATTATATAATTTAATAATAATTCTCTCTATCTCCAACACAAGCTTTGCTTAAAGATGTTATCTTCAATAATAATTTTTGCATATTCTCTTTTCGATCAATGAAAAAAAAAAGGTTTGATTTTCAGTCGACCATTAAATCCTCTTAAAAATTAGAAATAATAATATTAATATTAAATATTTATACCATCAACCTTTGTATTCCAAGTTATATTTTAATCTTAAATTTCAAAAAACATTGTAATGATTACCATAATATATTATATAAGCCAATAAACATTTTTAAAAACATATTGTTAAAGTTTAATAAATATTTTTGACTTTTTAATACTAACAGTACCTACAGTTAAATTGTTCATTCATAGTACATACCTACCTAAAAACAATTAATCAAACCATCAGATTAGTGCTATGATAGATAGATAATATAACTAATTTATTTTTAAAAAAAAATAACAAATTAATATTTAGATTATAAGGTACCGATAGATAGATACGATTAAAAAAAATTTAATTTTTAAATAGCATTAAAGATCAGGAGAGTCCAAACGGTCAATTTTAACTTTGGTTGTCGTAATTTATTATTACACTTAGTAGCCCCCCCACTCCTAAAAAATACCGGTGACTACTGTCACCAATAGTGTAATATTTATGGTTCTTCACAAAAAATATATATTCTTAGAAATCATAAACAAAACACGCCAACAATTACACAAATAATATTTAAGAAACTGAGGAATATCATATAAAATGAATTAATAATATAATTGGCAATTCACTTTTTAATGGACAAATAAAAACTAACTCAAATATCAAAATGAAAGTACAAATTTAACTCAAGTTTCAGTAATTAATTATTAGTAATTTTAGATCCAACATAAGTTCAAATAAATAATAAAATACCTTTTTGTTTGACCTAATATGAAGTGGTAAATATTATTTTTTAGTTTAATTAGTTGAATAGTATTATGTACAATGTAGTATTTTTTGTCACTACCCAATGACAATAATCAAGCTAGCCTAATTGTATTAAATGGTAGGTATTCAGAATTAGTTATAACTCAATCCTGACTTAGTTTTTTTGATACAGGCAACTCAGGCAAGTCATGAGTTTTAATTGGTCTTTAAAAATATTACCTATCACATAAATATATTTAATATAATATTATATATTATCATTTTTTAATAATGAAACCCATTACAAGGTCATAAGTACTTTACTATTAACTAAAACTTAAGATCACTAATAAGTAAAATGTTTGAATTATTCTTATACTCGGTCCAGGAGTGCGGAAAGTCATTCCTCTACACGGCAACAAAGACTATCGGCTGAAAAGAATATTCCGTGCACAAAAAACGTTTCCTAGATGAATGCGCAAAATGCAAATCACACTCCTCTGCTCTCAATTATCCCTGGACAGTGTATATGTATGAATATGTTAAACTTTCAAATAAAATACATAATTGTATAACCAAAATGTTGTAATTCAATTAAGATCAAGACACCAGTTCTATAATAATTTTCAGTTTTTGATGATGTACGAAGTAAGGTTTAAATTGAAATATTAAACAAAAACGATTTTGTTAAATTGTAGAGTTTTATTGAATATCAAACATTGTACATAATTATTATCCATCAGAATAATAGTCATAGTACACACGGAAATGGTCAAGCAGTATCGGCACAGCTTACAACTTCAACTTAGTTCTTCTCCAATGACGCCTCTTGGCGTTATATCTGAAATATAAAAAAATATATTAAACTCAACTAATTCAGTTCAATTATTGTAATGCAAAACTAGCTAGCAATATTAACATCTATTAAGAATAAAATAGGTACTGAGGTTCCTCTTCTCCAGACTTATTCTTTTAAAAAATATTTTTTTAATGCTAAGATACTAGCAATAACTTAGTAAAATTATACTTTTAAGTTGAGTTTCCGCTATACTGAATAGTTAAATATATTTAACTTTGTAAGTTAACATGTTACCAACATTTTGAATGTAAACCTGCAGGTTCACCTACTAAGAGTAACTCATCATATACTTTAACCAAACAAAATATATGACATAACTGCATAATATGAACATAAATTAAGACACTAAACCATCCTAATTTAGAAATGTAACTTTCAAACTATGTAAGTAGGTACTACTAGAGAGCCTTTGTGTATAAGAGAGTAGCTAACTCGGGGAACATTTTCTATTGGCTGTCTGTTATCATTGATAATTTTACGCCATTTTTTGTCCAAATTTGTATATATCTTACCAATGTTAAATACATTAATAATTCATTATGGTCAATTGTTTTTACACTACAATGTAATTTTAATAATATTCAACTATTAATATTTTGTTTTGTTGCATAATTATATAATACTTATATTTTGTATCATAGACTATAGTAATGTATTATAAATTAAGATATATATATATACAAACCTAGTTATTACACCCATATTTCATATTATACTATACAAAATTATTATTTTGGTTGCTGTTATGCAGTACCTAAGCATATTTCTTTAATATTTTATAAATTGACCTAATAAAGTATATTATTTCCTATTTCACACTTTAGGTTTTTTTTATGAAACATGGTTGATATCTATTCAGTTGACCACGTTCTTATTATCTAAGCTCTCTAGGTAACTTTTCAGGCTCAGAAGCTCAGAAGTTCAAAAAAGTTTTTAATAAATAATGTTATCCCTACAACACTTACAATGTAATTACTAAGTGAATTAAATATGGTTTATGTTCAAATTAACATTTAAGACTTTATTCTAGTAGAAATTAAAAGAAAATAAAATCATAATATTTCTAGTCATACAAGTATTAACTTGTATTCATGGGAGATTTAAGTTTGAGTTAAATCTATCTCAGTGCACTATATTTTGTTTTCACTTTGATCCGTGAGAACAGAGATACGGTATCACTAGGCAAGGGGAGCGGGGACCGGACTATAAGAGGGACCCTGAAACGGCCTATATTCAGATGTGTCCACTCATCTCTACTGTAAGCACCTTCACGAGACTGTGTAATAATTGTCATTTTGTCTTAGCACAATTTATTGGAAACATTTAAATAAACATCAGTGTACAATTTATTCATCCATTACCTAATCATCATCAACAAAACGGTCTAGTTACCTGCAACGTTAATATACGAGTAGTCACCTGGACTACCAGTATATTACAAAACCATCGAAAACTTTAAACTTAATATATTATTTTTGAATCTAAGCTCTATTCCACGAGAGAACATGCCGCATGATGACTAAAATTGGTCAGCTTTGCACAACCCTTCCCCCTAATTATCTAGATAAGTAGAGCGCGATCGTAGCAGTGACTGTGATGGTCACCATTGGTGACATTTGGCTGCATGGAAGAAATATAATAGCCTAGTCAGACAACAGACTACATTCTAGATGCCTGGAACCGGCATATTCTCTTAAAGCCTTGTAATAATTCAAAAACTATAAAATGTTCATACTATGTGGCGTTCGAGAGAAAACAAATATTGTCTATAGAAAAACGTATTAATCTGTCAAAGATATCGGTGTCAGTGGCCAGTCCGCTAATATACATATGTTAACACCGCGCTAGTATGGTAATGATCGTAATTCAAACTATAGTTTTATAGCTTAAACAAATATAGTTACCTATATATGATAATTAATAAAAATAAGAAGTTACTAATTTATTTCATTTTTTACCATCAAAAATTTGTTTTTGATTATTGTAATAGACAATGAGAATCATACCAAATACAAGTAATTTAACTTTTACCTATGGGAAGTGACTAGAGGAACACTTATGGCTTTGTCGCACTCCTTGTTCAATTAATAATTTACAAGAACAGAACTACAATGAAATGACGAGGGCACTAACACGATACCGTTCATGTGCCAAATCTACAATGGGTTATTGATGAGCAATTACAGAATGATATTATGAAACCGAGAACGAAAACAACCAACAACGAAACAATATTTCCATATAACAGATAGGAGCTTAGCTCAATTGGTATAAGTATCAGCTCTTAATATTATTTAAGTTATTATCGTATTATAATTGCACTACTATGAAATAAATACTACAATTGACTAAAGTGAACGTGGAAATATCTATGTCACAGAACCAGAGTACCTAAGGGAGAAATTTAATACCGTAGGTACACATCCATAGAAAATTATACCTGATCGTGTTTCCGGTCCTCATTCTAATCCACTGGGGGATGGGACGATTCTGTTTCATCTTTTTAGCAAGCTTCTGCTTGATCTTAAACGTCTTCTTCGACGACTGAAAACAACAACACATGTGACATTAGTTTTTAGTATCGTTCGTTCGTTGTGTTATATTTCGAATTTTTCGTCGACATTGCGCGGACGTCCAGCCGAGGCAAATCGTTGGGCAAATCGAACAATAACAATCACTTAAAAGTTTAATAAAATCAGTTCACTTACCATGATGAAGGGTGAAACGTTGGAAACGCCAGACCCAAGTTTCCTTTCGATGTCCCCGACGTGAACGTAATGAAAAATTGTGAAATACAAAGATCGAATACGTCGATTTACAGGTTATGTTTGAAACGCTCGAACCGTCCGGACCGCAGTGAATGCTCGAGTGTAACCTGAACGTTCAGTTGACGTCCGCGCAGTTGGCAACACCGAGTCGTTCTCGTTTTTGAGTGTTTTTTTTTTTTTTGAAGGAAATGCGCCAAACTGCTGTCATCGTTTAAATTTCAAATGTTGTCCTGAACTTCTGAATTTTCTGAAGTTTTGAACTCTCGAAAGACGTACCGTTAGGGCACTATAGCTACTAGGTATGCTGAGCAGCCATTTTGCGACTAATAATGTTTTGTGAATATGAATTTTACCTTCTTTATTTTGTCATTTTATGATTGATAAATGAGTCTCAAAATGGTGGCATATCATACCCATTATATGTAGAGCCTTAGCAGTGGCGTGTAACATAGGGTCCAAGTGTTGCTCAGGCAACACCTTAAATATGGGTGGGTGGGTATTGATAGACGAAAAATAGAAAATTGTATAGGTCGGTATAACAGTATTATAAGGGGTAGGTCGTAGGTCACCTAAAATTATTTGAGCAACACCAATTTTTCTTATGATACACGCCACTGAGCCTTAGTACCGTCAGTGTCGGGTGTCCATCAAACAAAACCTAAGTGTTTAAATCGTTCTTTTTTAAAAATATTTTGTTGGTAAATTAATTTTCATTAACGATCATCAATCAACATAATAGGAATGTTATTTTGGCATAAATGAAGTTTATCTCCCAAGCGATTTTTCAAATTTTTTTTAAAAAAAATGTGTGTTTTTGTATGCTTAATTTGAGAGTACTTTCAATCAAATTAAAAAATCAAATCAATTGGGAGATAAACTGCATTTGTTCCGTTATTTTTATTTTAATAATATGAGTCATCAATTTTATAGAGTAGCTAGGTACTTGTTAATTGTTACCTACTTTATAATTTGTATGCTTATTAACTATCCCCGCTTTCATACCATTTGTTATTTCGATAATTAATACATTTATTTAATTGGGGAACAAATGCACTTTACCAACCCCCTCACGATTTTCTATTTTTTTTTTTCAATAAAATTGGATTTTAAAAAAACTTGTGTCTTTAATTTTGACAGGCTATAATTTCCTCAATACTTTCTGATGGACAGCCATATTTTTCTGAACATTTTGATGGTAGAACTGGTTCGCCCCTGAGTCTATCAAAGTATGCGGTATGGTCAAAAACTCGTATGGTGACAGAGGCATAGCCTGCCCCCTCCTACATTTGACTGTGTTTATTTTAGCCTATATTATACTAAAAAAATGATTTACCATACAAAATTCTTGGCTACGGCACTATATAAGGGAGTAGCTATCACTATATTTAAGCTAAATCCGTAGTATAAAAACAGTTGTAACTTATAAGCATTCAAAAATCCAGTTTGTTTAACTTTTTGCCTAAAAAAATTCAAATAGTCTTATCTATCATTGTGACATCTAGAAAATATGCATATAATAAATTATAATACATTAATATTGTATGAGAGAGAAACAGTAAATAGAATATGTCATTAAAAGATGATTTACCGCCATCCAAATACAGCTTACTGGAAAGATTTACAGTATAAACACTATATTATAAAAAATATAGTGAGAACTAATCTATATATTCATAGGAAATTTAAATATTTTAATAAACAAATTGAAGAATTAAAACGATAAAAATAAAAAATAATTTTTAATTTATCATGAAGTATGGGTTGATTAAAATGGGAAATGAAAAATTATGAAAATTAACTGTACCTATGATAATATTGCTTGTATAACAGACAACACACACAATATTCATTTTTATAATATCATGGTTATGTACACATAACTAATAAACGGATATTAAGGTATAAAACTATAAAAGTTTAAATCTGTCAAAGTCTATATCCGTGTTACCAATATCAAATAATTAATGGACTTCTAATTTACCTATATTAAGGTATAATTGATATATTACATAAATAATGACCAACTATTCAAACTTCAAAAGTCACATAATAATATTACAAATTCATAAATGAATTACACATATTTCAGAAAATGATAGAAATGTTTAAAGTCGTCATATTAACTTTTTCATTACAAAAAAAATTAATTAAATATAACTAATATAAGTCTTTTTTCAGCAAAATAAAATAAAATTAAAAAATATATAAAAATAAACTTAATTTTATCACTTAAATCTGATAACACTTACTGAAATAAAATAATAAGGAACAAACACGCATTATTCAACAAAAATATCATAACAATTTATAAAATTAAATTAAATATGAAATATGAAATATTAAGGAATTGATTTTAATAACTTCAATATTTGATCTTCAGATTCAATTTTTATTTTCTGTTCCTTTGGAAATAATTTTCTGATAATTAATTTGATGTTTTGCTCGTCTGAAAAAAATCATCTTTTATGTGAAAATAATTAAATTACGAAGTCAGCTATATTTAAATAACTTATCAACTATTAACCTTAACTATAAATATATATATATTTTTTAAATATCTATTAACTTTGCATTCAAATAAAATATTTATCAGTGTTTTATTTTAAATAATAGCTAGTTGATCCAGTGCACTTCGTTATTTAATATTCGGTGTATGGTGTTCAAAACTTGTCTTAACTTTTCGGTTGAATAAAAATAAAAATTCTGATTCGTAGCAGTATATTATCAGGTAGCCAATCTACCTGAAGATCGCGGACCCAGTGCTGTTTGTACGTAAGTGTATGATTTAACTCTAGGGTATCAAATACCTAAGTTATACCAAGTTTATCGTTTTTACTTAATTCCACCTATGGCGGATTAATATAATCAATTAATACAAAATCCTAACCAACCGTACTAAAATCTGATGAATAAAAAGAAAACAAATTTAACCCTTTTAAAATAATCCTATCTTCTACTCAGTGGTCTAATCTACACAAAAGCATTCATTTTTATATATATAAAATATATTTGGTCAAACGACCAATGTTGGCCACGTCTCCTTCAGTAGCGATGGCGTCACGCAAGTGGATAATGGATATACTCGTCTGATCGTAACTTCGACTGATTGAAACGAATGAGATTAATATTGCGGCTAATATTCACACTGAGGGGGCTAAGACCCCCCCCAAGCCCCCCCCCCCCCCTAGATATGCCTATGACCCTGTTACACGCCACTTAGTTGCATATTATAACATATTAATTTACCTGGATGACTAGTAGACTCCAATAATTTATGAACAATTTGTCTTGCCATGAATTTAAATAATTCTTTAGTCTTAAATAAATTATTTTTGTAGTAAGGATTCAATAATTTTACAACCAGATTTGACAATTCAAATTTTTTTTGCTTGTTATTTGGATCTTCAGTCTTATTTTTGTTTGTTTTCATGGACTCTTGTGAATTTTTGTTTGTCTTAATAGTATTATTTACATTTGTTGACATACCAAGTCGGACACCTAAGGATTTTTTTTTAACATCAACTACTGCTATTTTACTTTCATCATCACTATCTTCACCAAAGAGACTACTCATATTCTTTGTTGCAGATATTTCAACATTTTGCTGAACAGGTAATCTATGTTCGATCGATGGTTGTTTTATATCTTTTGGTTTTTGGTGCATTGGAAATTTATTTAGTTGTAAATTTTTTTCATTTTCTGATGAAAGAATTTCTGAAATTTCCTTAAACATTTCAGCAACATTTTTTTCTGAAATTTGTGATTTGATATTACTGATATTAACATGTGATAAACCATTTTCATTAATTTTTATATTATTTGGACCTGTATTATTAGGCGTAAGAATAATTTTTTGGTCTTGTATAGTTGGTGGCATATTATTCATAGTTAAATAGTCACTTTTAACATTTAAAAAATTTTTAGATGAATCATATGTTGGACCAGATTCGTGGTCACTTTTTAATAAGTTGGAAGCCATAACTATTTTTGGTACTTGTATATTTGTTGATGTAGTTTGATAAAATAATGGTTCAATGGATTTTGTTTCAAATAAACAGGTTGTTTGCTGATCGGGATATAAGTCTTCTAGTAAAGTTTGAGTGAGGAGTTTGGGGGGTTCGTCTATATTAGTACTTTCTATAATATGAACTTCATCATCTGAAGATATTTCCATGTCACTATCGGTATTCTCAATTCTAGGTTTTTTTGTAGCACATTCTTCGTTCTCTGTTACAGAAGTAGTAGTGGTCGGACATACAAATGATTTAATTGACTGCTGCTGTAAATGATCTCGTTTAATTCCTCTTTTGATTTTTGGCTCTGGCATTTTATTTTTTATTTGAGCTTGAATAAGATCTGAAGCTGTAACTATAGGTGGGAGTTCTATATTTTTATTTGAATTAGCTTTGGATTCTTCTTTAATTTTCTCTGGTCGTGTATAATTTTGTATTTTATCAAAGATGTTTGATGCTCTTGTTTCCGCCTTAATAAGAGATACCTAAAATAAACAAAAAACAAATATTTAATGCCATCATTTGAAAAATGATTTATGTCACTTCAAACTACAAGACAATATAAAATTAAATTTTCTTCAATTATATTAAGAGGATACTATCCATGCATTTGTTATCTCCATCTTACATGCTTAAGACAGAATTTGTGTTCTGTATCAAAAGCAAATTTTTGTTCACTAATTTCAATACTGTGCTGTAGTTTTGATATTCGAGTGAATATACCTATCATCAAACTTATAGGTAACAACATTATATGTACTGAAGCGTCAGAAATTAAAAATGCTTATATCTGTAGTGAACAAAAATTTGTCATGTAAGACGGAGACAACAAATGCATGGGTAGTGTATTCTCTTAAAAAACCAAGTTCATTACAATAAAGATTAAAAAATATACATAACACATTATTTACAAACATTAAATGATCAATTATAATGAAATATAAATATATTTTTTCAATTAAAAAAAATCTAAATCTACGTAAAATGGGTTTACTTGGGACATTTAGGTAACTTGAATACAAATGATATAGTATTATAAATGATTAAAAGATCTGAGCACTAGAAATGTTTTTATCACTACCATATAATCACACATTTATTTATTATCACTTTCACAATGATCGCCTTGCTGTCCAGACATGTTCACATTTTATATACGTATTATTTAAATATAAATACATAAGTAGATTATTATGTGGTATGAAACCATGTTAAAACGTAGTGTACACGCGGCTTGCTATTAGTTGAATGTAAATGTGGGTTCCAACATTAGTTGCAGCAACTACTAGTGAATTATTTAAACAATATTTCATTGTTATTAATTATATGTAATTTTTGCTGTTATCATGAAATGCTGGAAAAAAAAATAGTTTTTAGGGTAACTTAAATGAACTTTTATGTACTTATAAATCATTTTATACCTTAAAATTAAACTATGTGGTATTATAAAGTAATTTAAACTGACCAAGTTGTGTTTTATTTTATTTTTAATGCGATTTTAAATGAAAAAAGTGACTAATTAATCTTAAAACGAAAAAAAATTAATTTCATTGTTTAATATTTAATCTAAAATAGGTTAATAAACTATGATATAAAAATTTTAAATTGTGATGTTTTAAGAGCGGTTTTTTTTGTTAGAACAATACATCTGTCCCAAATTAAAATATGTGTAGTTCAACATGATTTTTTCATATAACACAATAGTTGTACCAAGTTTGCAGAAATCGAGAGTAACTTGGGACAAGCATATTTTTTTTTTTTTTAAATGGGAAGGGGGAATTAAAAAAACAACATAATACGGGTCGTATAGTCTAAGCTAAGACCAGAATGTTAGATCCTTACCATTATTAAGATATTTTGAAAACTTATCGATCAGCATTCATCTGAAGTTCAAAAGTGTCCCAAATAAACCCATTTTAGGTACATTATATAATAGTTGTTCATACTATTTTTCAGCTAACAGCACAACTTTGATAAAAAAGACTTAGAACTATATAAATATATAAAATTAATCCTCCCATATATATTAATATCAACTATCTTACATTTTTAACTACTTTATAAAACTATCTCATAGGTATACAAAATTTAAATAGCAATAAATACATTTTATAATAACCATTTTTTGTAATTAACATTTAGACTGGTTTATTATTTTTACCAATTGTTAGCAAAATATGTGAAATTAAATTAGAAAGATCTATTGAACAATTAAGATAGGTAATTATTTATATACCATCAAAAGTTAAATATGCATATAAAAAGTTGTGATCAAATTAGTGGAAAATATTTTCCACGTACAAAAAAATAATTATATAGAACAACTGATAGAAGTGCATCATAAATGGTTTATCCTCATATTTCTAGCCAATTAATTTTATTAGGTATAAATAGTTTAATAGAATAATACTATACAATGTCATGAAGATGAGGTTAGGTTGGGTTAGTGGTTCAATGAAAATGTTTTTGTAGATATAGGGAAAATTACTCATTTCTTAAAGATTAATAGTTTAAATCTGTATTTGTTTTACTCAACTGTTTTAGCAATTTTTTTTCGGTAGACAGCTACAACTTTTGAACTAGTAAACGCTTCATATTCTAAGTCCACTGCAATATTATGAAGATCATCTTTTGTAATTTCTGTTACTGAATCAAATAAAGAACATGCTTCAATATTTTTCTCCAAGTATTCTTCAATAAACCTCAATAATTCTTCTCTTACCTTAATGAAATAAATTCAAATATGTATGTTAATTATTATATTAAAATACGCATTATATAGTTTTAACAGCTTGTGGCCATAATTAAATTGTAAACTAAATAATTTATCCTTATTTAAAAAAAAAATTTTTATCTAAGTGACATGGTCATGTAAAAATAATGTATAATTAAGTTGTTAATTCTATGTTTAAATTAACAGTTGATTGTTTAAAAACAAAGACTAAAGTCTTCACTCGTATTCAACAAATGACTTATTTCACTTCAAAATATTCCTTTTTTTATGCTAGGTTTACACGAAGCCAAAGCAAAAAAATAAAACAAAACAGCAATAAACTCAATAATTTAGCAACAAATAAGAAACAGCGACAAAACAGCAATTCCAAAAAGAACTGGTTATATCATCAGCAGTATGACAAATAATATAAAATTGTATGTAAATACAAATTAAGACTAAAAAATAAAGATATATTAGGTAAATGAGTAATGACAAATTTTCATTGACAAGCCTCAAATTAAAGTTAGGTCAAGAGTTTTGTTAAATACATCTTCTTTTGAAATAGTTTTAAAAATCAAAAAATATTTTAATTACATAACTAACTATGACGCTTGATACTTATTTTCAAAAAAAAATATTGAAGAATGGGGTCTCTAATAAAATAACAAACATTAATTATATTTATTAATTTGTAATAATAATATTGTGTAACTAATGAACATTACTTTAGTTAACATTTTAAACACTTAGGTAAATAAACTTACATAGATAATTTGATATTTAAAATATAGTTAGAATGTGATTAACTTTCTTATTAATTCAGAATCAAAATGATTTGTTATAAAACTGTATATTCAATTTAAATTATGGCCACAATTTACATTTATTACATATATTATTTTAATTAAAAATGTTTGATAATAAATAAGATAGAAGATACTTACTGATAGCTGCAAACCATTCACTTTTTTTATTGTAGATGCAGCTGCTCTGACTTTCGAATTTTTTACCAATTCTTCATTTTCTTTAATAATATTTTGTATATTAGCTCGTCTAATTTCAAATTGTCGTTTTATTTCCAATTCTAATGCTAAATTCTTTTTGTGCTCTTCTCTATCACCCTCACGTGCATACTCTTCATTTTCCCTAAACAAAGTTATACAATTAAATGATTAGCACAGTGATTGAAAACTATGACTTAGGGTATTAATTTACTCATTAACAGCATTGCGTCCGCCTCCATAAAAATCACTAGATACTAGTTGCTCATTTGATACAATTGTATGATTCCTATTATTTATTCCATACATAAATACATCTAAATCTATTTTTACTGCTTCTTTATTTGAGCATACATCACATTTATCAATACATTGAGGTTTTGCATCTCCAAAATAATCAGCAAAAAACTCGTGTCTACATCTAAATTAACAAAAATATTTAAACAATTATTAAAATGCATAAACAAGTAATTAAGTCTTTAATAACTTAAAAAAAATTACAACATACTGTACACTTTCACAGAACTGTATCATCTTAAGAAACATACTATAACTTCCTTTAGCTTTTTTTTGTTTATCTTGAGTCTTAGCTTGAGTTATAGCAGATTTTAAAATAAAATCTAATGAATTTTTCGCTTGTTTTGAATGGTAAATTCGACATCGAGCTAATTTTCCATCTCTTCCAGCTCGACCGGACTCTTGATAATATGCTGGAATGCTAGATGGTATACCCCAGTGTATGACAAACCTCACAGTTGCCTTATCAATTCCCATTCCAAAGCTTACAGTTGCTGTTATAACTTGAATATGCCCACTCATAAATGCTTCTTGCACTGCAAGTCGTTCTTTATCCTTTAACCCTATATTAAATCACAATAGTATACTGATTATTTCAGTTTAATATAATAATATATATAAATTATATTATATGTTTTTACCAGCATGATAAGGGGCAATTGAAATACCCTTTCGGCTAAGAACTGTGGCAATTTCTTCAGTTAATTCTCTTGTTCTACAGTATATTATACCACACGGTTGAGTCAACTAAAATATTTAAGTTGTTATCAATATTTTAGTTTAATTGCTATACATTTAAAAAAATATTTACCGGATTTATGTTTGGAGTAGTACCCTCCAAACAATTTAAATCATCATATATACATTGATCAATAAAGTCCTTCAAATGCTGATAGGAATTTTTAATAGAATCGTCAAATATAACATCATAAAATAAGTTTGATCGAAAACATGGTGTTGTAAACTTTGAGACTGGAGTTTTAAGGCATAATACAGTCATTATGTCTTTAACAACCTAAACAAACACATTTTAGATTACTTCAAATAATTTTTATAATTCATTAAGTATTTAATTTTATTATCTACATCGGCACTAGCTGTAGCCGTAAGTGCAATCCATGGAATATGAAGATAAAGTTCTCTTAGCATTCCCAGTTTCAAATAGTCAGGTCTAAAGTCATGACCCCATTGACTTACACAGTGTGCTTCATCTACCACTATATAAGCCAATTTATTTTTTCGTACTAAATAAGATAATAAACCCTGAAAATTAAATTATATTGAGATAATTTTAGTTTTATTATAAAATATTGTACCTGAATTGTAACAAAATCAATTATACCAACCTTAAAGAAGTCAGTAGCCGCTTGTTCCGGGGTCACATAAAGTAATGAAGTAGACACTTGTACCGAATATAAATCATTGATAACACGTTTCCGTTCAGATTCAGTCATTTTTGAATTAATAGTTTCAGCACGTATTTTTAAACGTGTTAAATGATCCACTTGGTCCTATAAAAATTTAGAAAATTATTATTTCACACAAAACTTATTTAAGAAAATAGATAATATGTACCTTCATTAGAGCTATAAGAGGAGAAAAAACTATTGTAACTTTAGGTGAATGAAGTACAGCAGGTAGTTGATAACATAATGACTTTCCAGATCCAGTTGGCATTGATACAAATACATCAAATTTTCCTTTAAAAAACATATTTTCAAACTTTGAATCAACTAGTGTTGGATGATAACATATGATTAATTATTTTTCTCATTAGTAAACTAATACATTTTTAATTGAATTTACTACTTAACCATTGACCCCTCAAAATTCTTCCAATACCATTTATAAAATATTTAGCCCAGTATAATAAACCTGCTGAAATTAATTTTTTTTTAAACTAAAGTTAGGTTTATTAATGGGAAATACGGAATGATAAGAACACATTAGAGACCAGAAAACAATTTTAAGGACATATTAAGTTGAACTGGGGTAAATTGTTATCCCACATGAGTGGAACATCTATTAAGAGTAATAATTTGAATAGTACCTATAATATAATATTCTATTATTATTTATTGATATTTGTTTATAATTCAATTGGGTACAATCAATGACTGTTTTAGGTGGAGGGGGGTTCTTGAGAGCTGAAGCACCTACCGTTCCACATATTGAACTATTTTTTTATTATAAATTACTTAGATATCAGGTATTATGTAGAACTAAACAAATTAATTGTAGACTACTACCAAAAAAAAAAGGTTAAATTTGTTTTCACCCCAAAGTTGTGTTGTTCATGATAAATACCTTTTTTTTTTCTTTGTGGCATCACTACATTAGGACCAAACGGTTTTTACATGTGACTTAACCACCATAAAGCATATTTTTTTAAAAATCAATAATATGTTCTTTGGTATGCCCTCATGGGCCGGGATCTACTTTCCTCGGCGGCGCTGGTAGACATGAGAGCTTACATTAATTTCATGATAAGTACCTAGAGCTTTATTATCAACATAGTACACACCATAAAAAAATCCTAGATTTACCACCGGGTATTATTTATTATAAATTAAATATATCTAAATGCTATTTGGGTTTATAATAGGTAACTTATAAATGTTTATAATATCATACCTTTAAAAGTGGAATGTAGGAAAATTTTAATTTAAAAAAAATTAGTAGGTGTAGTACCTAGGGACATCAAACTTCATAGATATAAGATATGTAAACATCGCATGAAATGAATCTCATTGAATTATTAGTTATTATATTGTAATAACTAATAACTAATAAGTAATATAATTGTATTACATTTTGAAATTAATTTACCCAACAATGCAAATAGCAAAAAATAATAATTATGATACACTTACGCTTTAATATTGCAATAATGGCATTCTTCTGTAAATCACTTTTGAAGGTCGGATGATGGAAAAAGTGATTCAATTTTTCAAGCAGTGCGTTTGGTTCCATGCTGATTATTTTTTCAGATTTTATTCGTGTTTCTTCTGACATTTTAATATATTTGGTAGTACTAATTTGGTTTCACTTATTTATAATAAATACTCAAATAAAATGATAACTGATTTCAAACCTCAAATGGTTAGTACGGTTCTTATTAATCTAATATAACCAATATATTTCATGTTACAAATATTTACTTAAACCTAATCTAGTTATGAATGAAATTAAAATCAATTAATATTGTAGAAACAAAAACTACATTTTTCAAAATGAAAACATGATCATTACTAGTTTTATCACAATGTTCACCTACCTATATTATAAAATACGTTTGTTGAGGCTATGTTAAATGATAAAGAAAAATAGCGTTGGATATACCTTGATAAGGGTTCGTATTCATTATGTCTAATGTCAACTTAACCGAATTTTCATTTTAAAACACCTTTACAACAGTTACAACCTTCCAATAATAATATGTATCCAGGACAAAATATTCAAATGTATCCGTTTTTCCAAAAATAAGTACATTACACTTTACTTTTTAAAAAAATTAGCTCAAATAACAAATTATTTAAATTATAAAAATATACCTAATAAATAAATATATTATAGCCTATAGGAATTACGTTAGTAGTAATATCACAAAATATACTACACATACATTAGTCAGATAGTCAAATAATATTATAATACACTATTTTCTAAAAATTTAGAAAAACTTTTTTAAACATTTTCTAAAAAAATTAGCTCAAATATTAAATTATAAAATTAGCTTGTAAAATTAGTTCAACCTATATACACTGTATTACTAATAGAAAAAAAATTACATTAATAGTAATAATATCTTATATCACAAATTATACTGAACACAAATAGTCAAATAATATAAAATAAAATGTAAAATAATTTGTTTTTATGAATACAGTATAGCCGTATAGGTACTTGTATAAAATAAAATAAAATATCAAATAACTTGGTAAAAAAAATCACTACCTACACTATTTTCTAAAATTTTAGAAAAACGTTTTAAAAAAAAAATACACATGCATCGATGTAAAATTAATACATTCATCCCTCATAGTATTGCTGTAGGGGAAGCCGGGGCAAGACGAGAAACTTAATGTTTAACTGGTTAGTAAGTTGAATTTTTCATAAAAATTCTGAATTTATGTACCTACTATTTAAGAGTCAATGTTCCTTAGCTTCAAATATTGTTCACTCTAAAATATTTTAAAATATTATGTGAAAAAAAGGGAATTTGTCACACCCTGGAGTAATATGACAATATGAGACATATGGGTGAGCCATATAAACTATAAAGGCCCAACAGATATTTTTTTCCAATTTAGTAACATAGGAACTTGTTTATAAGAATTTCACAAAAAAAACACATAAATATTAACATAAGCATGTTTTATTTTATGACCAGATTTTGGTAATACTTTAACAGAATCCCGCATGACTTGAATCATTATGCGGCAGATTTAACCAACACAGTTAATCATGATTAAACTCCGGTTAACTTTAACCGTGATTAACTGTGTTGGCGAACTTAAACTATTAAATACTTCATAAATGTAATAATCTATATCTATACTATTATACAAAGAGGAGTCGTTACCGTTGTCGAAAGTAATCTCTGGAACTACTTAACTGATTTCGAAAATTCTTTCACCAATAGAAAGCATTAAAGCAATAATTCTTTGTGAGTGTCATGGGCTAATTTAAAAATGGAATTGATCACCCCCAGTAGGTGCTCAAACAGGAATTTTGAAATTTACGATAGAAATATTTCGCACTCCTAGAACAAGACTGCCACAACTCAAAATTCATGAATTTTGAGTTATGACTACTTTTGGATAGAGAAAAATAAGCTCTTTTAAATGCAAGAACGCCACATTCAATATCATTTTTCATTTAGCCACTATAGAGATGTGTCTGTATTGAATTATTTAAATATTGGTTAATTTTCAATACAAGAGAGCCATATTTACTTTATGGCAGTATACTTATTTTTATTTATCCAAATTATCACTGAAGTCAAAATTCAAGACTGCCTTATTTCGATTTGTGGCGTTCTTGCACTGAATAAAAACTAATTATCGTGTAATATGTTGAGTGCAAAACAGCAATATTTAGAGTTGTGGCAGTATTGCATTTTATAATTTGTGATAGTGCAGCCACAACACGAATTATGACTCTATTGTATTTATAAATAGAATAGATTTTCGTTTTGCGCCAAGCCGCCAAATTCTCATATAGTCGTATCTCAAAATATGGCAGTCTTGCATTTACTTAAAAAATTGTAAATGGCCACAAGTCTAAATTTTTGGGTTTAAGAGTGAATTTCAAAATATTTGAAAAATTAATATTGTAAAGTATGGTTGTAAGTATTTAAGTGTTAAATTTCAAACGCATAAGTAAAAAATTCATTAAAATATCTTAAGTCCAAACTTCAAATTGATTTTTCTCAAAACTATAAATTTTGAGTTGTGACAGTCTTGTTCTAGGAGTGCGATTTGTTTATTAATGGTTCTTAATTGTTATGAGTTATAGGAGATTGAGAATAATATTTATTTATTATTTTCTTTTAAATTTGAATAATAATGGAGCGCTCAATCTCATTCGTTTCGATCAGTCGAGGTTACGATCAGACGAGTACATCCACTTGCGTGACGCCATCGCAACTCAGCTACTGAAGGAGACGCGGCCAACATTGGTCGTTTGACCATTCTCTCAGCCTAGGAAGCCCACACGATGCATTCAATCGAGAGTTGCAGCTGGAGTAAGACTATAATCGAGATGTGCTGGCTGAAAGAGTCCAACAAATGTGCCAAATACAATCTTCTTCTTTTGTTTAATATAATCACATATCAGTGGAAAACTATACCAATAATTATACCGCACTAAATAATTATGATGAAACTTATTTACTCGACGATGGTCGCATATTTGATCTTGATGGTATTAAAAGTAACAAGTAAAATTTGGTACTTCTAACTCTGTATGAACAGCATAAGCTCCCTCTAAATATTTTCTACCTACCAAGTACCAACATAATATAATATTTTGAAAAAATAAGAAAATCAAGCATAAAAATATTATATAGGTAGTTACAATAATTGTTATTTAACTTAAAAAGTGGTTCTTTATCAACGGTACACTCCAAAAATTCATGGGAAACAATTGGTAGCTGAAAGTCCGAAAGTATTCCATTAAGTCTGGTAAATGTTTATTCCGATTTTCTCCATCATACTTAATCCATTTCATTAGAGATTTATACACCTATTAATAATTAGAACATTATTTAGTTTCGGTCAAGCCGTTTCGGATGAGTTCAATAACAAACACAGTGACAGGACATTTTTATATATTATATATACATATCTACTTGATATGCTGTCGTACAATGTCCACGATCCAACGTAGTCGGATTGCCTACCAGGGTGGCTAAATTGCACTTACTGTTGCGAGTTGCATCCAAAAGGATTTGAACAATCACAATTTTTTAAAGGGTTGTCATTTTTAAGTGCAACGAAGTGCACATGGTCAGCTATAATATATAATACTAAACTAGTTTTCTTTAAGAATTAATAAATTATTCTTGCCTTAAAATAGCGTAGAACTTTTAACAAAATAAGCCATTTTGAGACTAAAATAAAAAAAACACTGATATTATATTACGTACTTATTTAATTGAGCATGTAAAAGCAATAGTGAAAAGGAATTTTTTTGCAGCATATCATATAAATATATCTATAATCTATAATAATAATATGAACGTTATATTATGACACCTTTATAGTAATAAATTATGGTACTGTTAACTATTGGGCCACTCTATCAATTATTCAATTGAAAAGACACAATAATATACTGTTCATCTGTTTATTACACTTTACGTGTAATACTATTACACGAAAAAACTATTAAATACCATAAAATCGAAACAAGTTTATTATCTAAAATCGTGTAAGTATAATATAAACCTATATAGTAATAAACTATGATAGCATAAAATCGAAACTAGTTTATTATCTAAATTCTAAAATCGTGTTATATAAACCTATATAGTTATTAGTTGTTATACTGAACTAAGTTTGTACCTACATTATTTGATAATTTGACATTATTATTTATAACTTATAAAGATTACCTAATTGTAACCCTACCTATACCTACAAGTTACAACAGTTACAAGTATATTATTATCAATTATTTCATACAATTCATAAGAGGACATCGTATACTATTATCTACAATATACCTCTAACTTGAGTAAATAGTAAGTACACGAGTATCAATTATTATTTATTATAGTATAGGTTGTAACTTGTAGCCAGTATAGCCTGTAGTTCACTACACATCACACAAACAGAATAGGGGTACAAACGAATTTTCGTAGGTATGTAATAATGGCTGTGAGCCCTTGGTCTCCGGTAATAGTACCTACCCTGCAGTTACCACAAACCACTACCCCTGTAACAAAGGAACAATAATGTATACGGCATACCAATACAATCAATTGCGTCTCATCTCTCATCTCTGATTTCACCAGATGAATAAATCAATTATTACCTACGGTAGGTATACGAAGGGTTTCTATTTTTCTGCGTCAATTAAAAAACTATTTTTTCGTTGCAGTATCTGTAAATATTATCTCCCTTATTATTAAATGAAAAAGTTTTTATATTTAAAATCCAACCACACTAGGTTCTGATGTATATTATATACGTAATGGGGCTTTACCAAATTGTTCCAAAATGTTAACATTTCACTAACATTTGTTCCAGAAATATCGACAAGTTTACAACATTGTTCATTTGTTCCAAACATTTCCCGCCCACGAGAGTCTGTCCATAAACTGCGCATCGATGTATAATACGCGACGTCTGTTTTCTCCCACCATGGTGCCATTTCCACTATTCGGCAACGATGCGACGGACGCGTTTTTACTGTCTGACTCTCGTGGGACGGACTGCCGGAATATAGACATTAATAATGTATTACATAATAAATAATTTTAATTATACTTCTACCACTAAAAGGTTTTACCCCCAAGAGCAATAATTGCCCCTTTTAAATTTTAATGCTAGTATACCACCCTCAAACGCACCACTGTTTGGTACTCAAAGTCCCAAAAATTATAAAACAACATTATATTGGAAAAATATCTAAAAATTATACTAAAAACCAATTCATTTTGAAGTGATTTATTTCATGCTTGATAATGTTTTTTGTACAAATTACCAAGTATAAAGGCACTTACGACTTACTTATATTGCTTGCAATAACTCAGTACTATGACACTATGTTAAACCGTGATGTTAAATACCAAAATACTTAAGTACAGTCTGTATAATCATAAACAGGGCTCGGAACTCTATGTCTCTATGCATTTGTATATATTAGGTAGCTGCATCTGCATGCCTGCATATTCAAAATCTGATTTGATACAAATTTGTTACACGATACATACAATCGAAGTAAAAAATGTATGTTGCCTATTTTTGTATATTTTACTAAATTTATATGATTTTTCATACTTAAAGTTTTTAAGCATATTAATGCATATTATGCTTATTCATAATTTATAATAAATCAGCAACAAACAACTTGTTGATATTATACCGAGTATTAACTGTTAATTTGTTTTGATAGGCCCAGTCTTATTTCATATTTATTCAATAAAAAAACTATTCTTACCAAGAGTTGAAGAGTTCATAGTCTCCATACTCTTTCGAAAGAAGTATCAATACAATTTGGAACCACCTGCGGATAAAATTGTAGCTAATGTAAAATAAATATCTACAAAAAAAGCACCATCACGCATTCAAATTTTCAAAAATTACATACGGGTTATCCTTTTATCTCAAGAATCAATTATAACCCATAGGGGTAACTTAAAGAATAACTATGTTTTTTTCCAAGTTTATTCACTTTTTTTTAGTGCATTTTCATTGTTTTTTAGAGCATAAAGTTCCGAGCCAGAATCATGAATAAAAACAACTAATGATTTTAAAAATTTAAATATAATTTATTTGTATTTAGTATTTAATTATAAAAGTATTCTAGAAGATTTTGTTGATTTTAAAATTAAATTTAATAATTTTCTCATGAAATTAAAAACTAGACAGTTTTTAATCCAATGCCTTCACAGATGATTTCATTTAAACCATCTTCCATTTGTTTGATACTAAATTTAGCCTGGAAAAATAAATTTAATATATTAATTAACATATAAAATAAATATTATTTATTAAGTGTATTTATTTAGTCTATGATTCAGCAATTTAACTCACATCAGTAAATTGCTCAGCAATATAAATTGCAGTCTTAGTGTGCAGGGTGATTTCTCGGCATTTCACTTTTGATTTTCCATTTGCAAGTGCCATAAAAATAATGAGCTATAATAAAATTCATTATAATAGTTTTATAAAAATTACCCCTAAATATTATACTAATATTTAAATTATTTTAAAAGTTGTATTTACATTATCCAAAGCATTAGGGTCAATACACGATTTTACTTCCAAATCTAATAAAAGTTTGTCACAAGCTTCATCAGTGAGACTGTTTATAGTTGATTTTCTCATATCATAAAGGGCAGATGAACCAATCAAGCAGGTTCCAGTATCGGCAACTAGCCTAAAAATATATTAGAAAACATTTATATAATATGAAGATAATACAATATTATAATTCATAATTACACTAAACTTCCACCAGATCCATCTGAATCTCCAACTTCAGTTTCAATTGTAATTTTATGATAACCGGACAGGTTTAATTTGTTTTTGACAGCTGTTGATATATCTTGAACTATCTAAATATTACTTATAAGTCAAAAACATATTCTGTAATAATTTACTTTATTAGTTTCAAAAAATTATATTTCATATGAAACACGTGAATTCAATCGTTAAAAATTTTTGTCCATCAACAAAATAGTTAAAGCTACTGTACTACCAATTTATGCCTACTTAATGATTTGAATTAATTATACATGTTAGATTAGATTATGTTTTTGCAATTGTAGGAACCCAAGTCCAAAAGAAAGTGAAAATCATATATAGAGTTCAATAGGTTTAAAGTTTAAAATATATTTTAATTTAATAACTTAATCATTAATTTTTAATTATATATTTTAAAATGTTTTTAGTAAGTAAAAACTATAAGTAACGTACTATAGTTTTTTTTTTTTTTAAAGATTATCGGTTTCTCATGACCATAATAATAATTATTAATAAATAAATTATTTAGAAAGTGAAGAGTTTTTAAAATACAATGTTTATAATACAACATAAGCAAGCTTATCAACGCCTAGTAATGCTGTTCCCTATTTTAACCAGGAAATTAACCTTGGAAAAAAAATGTTCCTTACTTATTTACAAACAATTATTGCACCCTTTGCTTACTTACACTAGTCCCGTTTGGGGTAAATGCGCTCTTTCTCACTTAAGAAAACTTCTAATATTCCAAAACAAGACCTTAAGAACAATAACAATTGTTCTATGGTTTGTAAGAAACCAAAACAAAGACTTCAAAATTCCATATCTCCAAGAGCACATCATAAACTGTAGCTTTTTCAAGTCTATTCAGAAGTCAACAGAATCAATGCATTACAAACTCAACGTAGGACCACCACTCCAACACCGCCTTAGACATGGATGCCCCCACGAGTTAATTGTTTAAATAATGCTTAGCATTAAGCCATCATAATAACTTTGTCATATTTATAATTATTATTATATTAAAATAATATTGTATACTTGGTTATGTTTGTTGTTTTGATGTTTTGGTCCAGATATAAATACAAATCCTTTAATAGCCGGTTGACCTCCAAAGTTAATAATTTCTACAGGTTTTAAATATTCAGTAACAGGATTTACTGTCAATACTACTTCTCCACGTCCTTTAGGGTAAAATCCTCTATAATCAAAAATTAATTAAATAAAAGTAATGTTGTTAAATAAAATTACTAAAAGACCCATTACCGTTTGTTTATAAGTGCTTCACAATGAACACCAAATAGCTTGTAAATAGGAAATAAAACCTAATATGAAAAATGCATAACATTAAAATTAAATAATATTAATATTTTATGTTCAAAGTTATAGTTTGTATTACATTTTTGACATAATCCATTGAAGGGGCAAAGCTGACATCAGTTCCTCCTTTCATAGTTATGCTGGAATTATGGTTACTAAATATTGCTACAGGCAACGCAGACTGTATCATCAAAGGAATACTCCTATGAAATTAACAGTTAAAATTACAAATTAATTTTAAAATATTTAAATAGCCATACGCAGCAGTTTGGGAATTGACATTCAAATTGAAATTTCCCAATTTTAATGTATTTGGTTGGAATGTCAATTCACAAGAGTTTTGACGGTCTCCATTTGTAACTGCATTGCACATCTGCTTAGCTAATTGAATTCCTAAAATAGAATTATTTTTGTATATTGATTTAAATTACAAAAAAAGATATAAACATTTTTTTTTTAATATACTTTATTCTGGAATATAATTAACTATTTACACTTACCAGCCAAATGTTGAGGTTTCAAACCAGGATTAGATCGGCCTGCTCTTATTTTGTTAATTAGTATAGGTTGCTCCAAAAGACATGAAAATGCTACCGACAATCGTAAGATTTGGCCACCCTATTAAAATATCACAAATTTTATAGGTACTTAAAAAAATAAAATTTATCAAAATTTAAATTCTCCAGTAATAACATTGATTATAAAGTATTAAACTAGTATTTATAATCAATGATAGTAATTTAAAACCTTATTATAAACACTTAATATAAAATAATTAAGTATTTTAATTTTACCACTTACGCCTTCTAAAACACTGCCATCGATCACCTTCACAGACATTTTCCTATCTGATGCAAGAGTAAAATCTTTACTCAAATGATCAAAACTAGAAAACAATGTCAACCAAAACAATAGATACGGAATAAGCACTAAGTTTTCAATGTTGACGTATAGGCTTGAATAATGTGAACAAAAATAACAGAATGATACAGAACCAGAATTATTTTATCAATCTCATACAGTGGTCAGTAACTATGGTCTATAATTAGGCATATTTTATAATGTAATAATACCATAAACTCTACAGCAATTTCAAAATATTTGAAATTTATTTAATTTGTTTATCTGTTAGCGGTGTTTTTACTTTTTATCATTTATCACAACATTATCAGTTTATCACATATGTTTTGAACCCGGTCCTTGGTGTATCAATCATGGAGTAATTTCTCTATTCTGTGCCACAGATATAAAATATCTATTTTATATCTGTGTTCTGTGCACGATTTAAGATATACCTTATCTTACCTAACCTAGGTATATCTTAAATCGTGATTCTGTGGTAATGACGTAATGTACAAATACTACAAATGCACCTTGACCCGGTCTTAGGGTATCTTTATTCTATGAGGGGATCTTCGAAACCGTGGTCTAGGGCAATGGTTCCCAACCTTTTTGACACTATTGACCACTTGGAGAACTTTCGATGCGTCACGGACATAGAGTATACTCTATGGTCACGGACCACCTCAATTTCAGAACTTATTTTTCTTATAAACAAGAATCATTTTGTTTCACACTCTTTAGAATTTAGTGTTTATGAATAAACAAAAAACAATGAAATTCCTTACAGCTTATAATAGTGTTTATAATAATTGATCAATTTTGAGAAAAAGTTTAAAGCTACCTATTAACAATTTAATGCATATTACTAGGTAGGTAGCACGGTTTAAGATAGTACTATCTTAAACCGTGGTAGGTAGGTACTATAAAAAAATGTACATCATATTATCATATATTTTATTATAACGTCTCACCACAGAATAGACACATAATGTAGAGCGGTACCTACCCACTTGCCCACCTTTTTTATTTTAACTTAATTTTTTCAGAAAAAAACTGCAAATATCAAGATATCGAGTGAAAAAACTATAACAATAAACAGGTAATAATAATAGGTCAACAAGTCTACTTTGCATCGGTCGGAACATATTTTTTATATCTTAGATATTTTTGACTATATTCAATACTAAAAATTTATAAATTTATAAAATTTAAAATATTTATTCTCTTCAAGAATTTGCTAAAATTGATTAAGTGCTCCGACTGATGCAAAGTAAACTTGTTTACCAACTCAAACATCTTTACATTTTTTAAATCAAACCACTAGAAGTACCTTAACTTTTGTCAAGCGACGGCTATTTTACGTAAATAAATTGGTTTTGAATATTTTAATCTATAAATAAAGACATTGAATGACTTGTGCATGTGCGTGGATACGACCATAAACCAGATAAGAAATAACGATGTATTGTAAATTTGTTTGGTTCGCGGGTGAAGGTAGGGGAGTATACACACACTAATGATCATTTACTAGTTACTACACACCCAAAGACGATCAGTAATCGCAGGAACGAAATAATCGCCTAAACAAAATTGCACAATTTCTTGCAGGGGTCTTAACCGTGCACGGCTACAGCTTGATGCAGCTTGACCAGATGGCGCTGCCGTATTCCACTTTGGATAATATTTAAATTTTTCAACTCACTCCAAGTAGTCCAAGTATAAACTAAATTTTTTTTTTCTTGGGACTAACACTATTATTAATGTGTGGGGTTGATGCAAAATTGAAACGATTAAAAATTAACATTATATTGTTTTGATTTTACATTTTTATAATAATATTATATCCGACGGCGTAGTTTATCCAAATTGGAACATACAAGAAACCGCGGAACATAGACGAAAATCTATTAACATTTCGGGGGGGGGGGGAGGCTAACATTATTAACAACAATGTGAGTGGCTTCGATCCCACATAACTAAAAAAGGAGGGGGCTAAGCCCCAGGGCCGTCCCGAAAGACAAATCATGGGGGGGTGGTTTGATTCATAATTTGCAAACTAAAAAAAAAAATTTTATTCTGTGATTATTCGAATATGTATAGGCAAATTTGTATACTGTTATAATATTATATATGATACATTAATAGGTAAAGTCTAAAATATTATAATAGTATAACTGTGTTGGACAGTTGGCAATCGGAAAATTAACTTATAATACCTTCATATTATTATAAATTACAATATATTATTATGATATATTTGGACTTAGTAGTATATACAAAATTATTAAAAAACTGTAAAAAAAAAATTATAATTTGCCGAGTGCCAACTGCCCAACTCAAATACCTAATGTAGGTATCAATGTGCCAACTGACATATACATATTATACGCTCAGGGAGGTGGGACACCCCCTAAAACCCCCCTTCGGGACGACCCTGCTAAGCCCCCGTAAGCCCCCTTCCAATCGCCTCCTATGCCATGGAAGTCACTTTGCTGTGTGCCTGAGTAGTATATTGGTACTTAGGTATTGATAGTGGATACTATAATGGATGGCTTTATTGTGTCAAAATTTAATTCAATACCTAATAAATAATATGCAAATTATTTTAAGTGGTGACAGTGGTGTGTCAACCCCAACTTCTTTTAAAGATATTTTCTTATTTATTTATATTAGTGTTTGTAATACCTACCATTGATTATAAAATTATAATATACTTAATTATATAATCATCGGCAATACGGTAGGCTGAACTCAGGCACGTAGCCAGGATTTTATTTTTTTTTTATAAACTGACAAATTAAAATCTTACAAGTTGCAATACAATACAATCTATAATTATTTAACATTTTCAACTGATGTCTAAAATATTAATTTTCTGCTTTTTTGAACCTTTATATCCAATACTTCGCTCGTATGATATATCTGTAGATATAGACACTTCCCAATGTACTGACAGAAGAGTTAGTCCCGTTAAACCCTCATTTCCAGTTTTGTTAAGAAGCAATGTTTTTAAGCGTTTTAGTGTTGAAAACGAGCGTTCAACTGCTGTTGTAGAAACTGGTTGTGTTGCCAAGATTTTCAATAAAAAATGTATGTTTGGGTAAAACTCCAAAATACCCATCATTTCAGTTGGCTTTTTCTACATTTACCCATTTTTCACACCATAATAAAAATTCAGATCAAACCACTTTTTCAGATATACCTAAGATCTTCGTAAAATATGTTTACATTTTCAAGTTTCGAAACATTTTCGTTTAAAGCAAATTTTAGCAATAAGATTTCAATTGATGACAAAACAACATTGTTTTGTTTATAACGGTTTTCCAAATTTAAAATGAAACCGTCTATCGATGGTACAAATATCGATGTTCTATATAGTATTCTCCCGGTGTGTTACAATCATAAGTATCTGTGTTTTTAGTTTTTTATAATGCATGGACATAAAATTTCTGAATCAAAATATTGTTTTCTTAATTTATTAGCATCTTGAAAAATAGATGAAAATGTGTGAAGTGACAGTGTGTCTCCACGATATAATTCGACATATGGATAATAATATTCGACCGTTCTATAGTGGTTTATTTTCGTACCACAATACAAAAACATTTTTTGAATAACACGTATTTTATTTTAATTTAAATTATAATGATAATGATTTTATATGCCGGTACACAAAAATGGTTGAACTAGTTAATTTTGACCAAAAACATCGCATACAGGTACCTATTCTATAATAATTATTAAAATATTATATCATACGTTTTTGTATTACACTATATTATAATGTTTACAAGTCAATACCGATCACGTACCGAAAAACTGCGCAAAAATAGGTTTGGGGTATAAATAGCTTAATATTAGAGTAAATAATTTAATAGTTTTATTGTGTATAAAATAATAATAGATATACCTTTAAGGCTTTAACGTAAAATGTCTAGCCTTCACAAATCACAATTTATTATTTTCGAATGAAAACAAAAAACTAAAAACCATATAGTCCATCATACAGAGGAAAAATCGTTATTTTTTATATGAATTTCGTTGTAATTTGAGCTTGAATATCTAAATTAAAATTTATTTAATTACAATAAATTCCAATTAGAACAACTTATTAGTAATTAGGTAATCTTGTATTACATTTTCAAAGTGTTATATGTAGTTGTGTATACACTTTGCAGTGGCGTTTTGGGTGTTTAACCCCCCCCCCCCCCATTCCTCTGCAAATTACATCCCCCCTATTTATATATAAAAACTGTGAAAAACTTAGTTTAATTTATACTTACCCCCCTCCCCACATATCATAATGGTTACTCCGCTGTAATCTGTATGTATGAGTATGATCCAAAAATATTTTATAGTTAGAGATACAAATTTAAGATTTTTTTCAATTTGATTTATTTCATTTAAAAAAGTGAAATATTTTTACAGTTATTGCTTAAGTTTTATTGAATGATACTCCAAATCTTTCATATTCCGCTATAATTACGTTAAAATTTCCAAAATTTTTTAGGTAAATCATTAATACTCATTATAACGTTTTTAAGCTCTGAATAAAACACGGTACCACAATATTTCAACATGTAATTATTTCTTTTATATTTTTACTTTTTATTAATTACAAGATTAACTGTTTAATCAGTGATGAAAATATGATGCTAAATTGCCTATATAATGCGCCGTCTCAAATTTAAAAGTACAATATTATTGTAGATAATTATTGACAAATTTATTTGTTTGGTATGAGTTATAATATTATCATCCAAAATATAATATTATGGTAAAACAATATTTACACTGTGAAATGTGAAATGTATTTGAATAAATATTATTTTATTATATTATATTTATTTATATTTATTCACCAAGGTAACATAAATGATGTTACATAATATGATATCATTATTATGAAGCACATTCTATTTGTTAGTGTTTATTTGAATGTTTATACATTTTTTTAAACTAATTATTAACGTTTAATACTATACATTTTATTATTC